GCGTGCTTGCCGCGGCACAAGGTGATGGTAGCTGTGCGCATGGCACTGGTGTCAAACTTCAAGAGGAACTCAAACGCCTCGCGCACAACAGGGACCGCGCGCTCTCCGACGACAATCGAGATGCCTCGATCATCCTTGTACACGTTGAGCGTAAGGTGCTCCAGGCCCCGCAGCTGCAGACACGCCTCGTCATCGGGGTAGGACGGCACATCGATGTTGAGCACGCGTAGAGCCGTCGCGCCGCGAACTAGGTCCCCGATGAGGTTTGGGGGAGGCCCCTTGCGAAATTGATGTTCATGGTCCTCAGTGTAGATAGCCAGTTCGCGAAGCTCCGGCATAGCGCCAGCAAGATCGCCGCGGTACGCCACAACCTCTTCTGTTGTGATCCGAAGCTTCTGTATGCGGTGCAACTTCGACATGTGGCGATAGAGTATAGATTCACCAGTAAATATGGACAGTCGCAGCTGCTGGAGTTCCCGCTGCCGTCCCAGGAAGACTCCAATTGGATCTTCGGTGAAGTATTCGTAGCTTAAAGAACGCCCCGTCGGCATAGCAGTGATAGAGCGGATCTGGGCGCGGCTTCGACTGTAGCATGACCGCACCGTATCGTCATGTTGTCGGAATAATACTTTCGTATAGATCAAAAGGGACTTTGCAGCGGGTGCGTGCAGCAGGATCCGGGTCTCTCTGTCGAGATCGTCCCCGAGCGTGAGCTCCGCTCCCGCCCAGGAAGACGGGTCCCGGGCCACGCGGTACCACCGCTTGCACACCAGTGGCAGCACGTCGAGGAGCGTGGTGCCATCGCTCAACTTTCCGAAGATCATCGTCAGGATTTCGTCTGGGAGGAGTTCCACGCTGCTCTCGCCACTGACATCTTGCTTAGCCGGGAGGAGTTCCAAGCTGCCGTCGCCACTGACATCTTGCTTAGCCGGGAGGATGTCCGTGCTGCCGTTGCCACTTGCATCTTGCTTAGCCGGGAGGATGTCTGTCCTGCCGTGGCCACTGGAACCTTGCTTGGCGTGGAGGGTGTCTGTGCTGCCGTCGCCACTGGGGCCTTGCTCGGCGTGGAGGACGTCCATGCCGGTGTCACTACTGCAGGTTGCTTTTCACGGAACTGAAACAGACAACGGAAAAAAGCCTTATAAGCCCGCTTAATGGCGGGCTTCGGATATTATCTTCTGAGGCTAGGCAGACTGGTCGCGTCAGGTCGGATTGTTCTGCCGACTCGAACGGCTAAAAGCTGGCTCTAGATATTGTTGGGCCCTACCCGAATCATCTTATCTTACCGCTTACTGAAAAAAGATCTTATCCCGTCCGAACACTGATATTTCTAATGTGATAAGTTCTATACAAGAGACCCTTTTCGTCGTCGCTGAGTGAAAAACAAAAGTAATCAACATGTCTGGAACCAGCAGCGCGCCACCTTGCGGCCGTTATTGTAAACAGTCCAAAGCTCAACCCTGATTTGTCACAAGCCAAGCCTAGGCAACCTAGTTCTGGACGAAGTTCACAGCAGCGGCGGCTATGTGGCGCGCAGCTACACTGGTAAAACTAAAGCGTAGTATTACCCACTGTTTTCAAGCGTAGTCAGTTTACGCTTGAAATCAAGCGTAACAGGCTCATCCGCCAAGATTTTCCCTATCTAAATGCATGGGGGAATTTCTAGCCTATGCTTGATTTCAAGCGCACACTGGTAAAACAAAGGCATAAAAATTACGCCCTTTAGGGCATAAAAACTCTTTTACGCCCTTGCAAGGGCATAAATCGTTTATGCCCTTGGGAAGGGCGTAAATGGAATAGGAATTTCAATCAAAATTTTAATGCCCTTCCCAAAGGCAAAGGCCCTTGAAGGGCATAATTTTAATGCCTTTGTTTCACCAGTGTAACGTCTTCAAGCGTAACATTATGCTTGACTCAAGCATAGAGTTACGCTTTAGTTTTACCAGTGTAGTTCCTGCTTTTTGAATACTTTTGTTATCCACTAGAAGATAATTGAACGGGTCTTTTAGCTGCGATAAAAAGGCTAGTCAAATTCCTTCAGATTATAGCATTCATAGCAGCAATTAAAAATCGCATTAAAAATGCAATAAGTTTTCTAGGTTTTGGCCGGTCTGGGACCAAATTATCACAGTTTTGGTGTGATAAAGTGATAACTACGCTAGAAAAGTGATAAATACGCTAATGCAAAACAATATTTATCGCACTAATAATGCAATAACTTTTTTATGTCGCTAATAATGCAAGAAAAATGTTATTGATTTTGAAATGAGTTCATTATTACACTTAGAAATTCATTGAAAAGATGAATACAACAGAGGAATTTGGGAATGTTTGGTCATCCGGAACGGACCAGAGCGAAGGAACAAAAATTTTCTTACCTTGAGAAACTTTTATTTGAAAAGGGCGTCTTTTCCAGAAAAAAACAAAGCCTCATATGGGGGGGGGCAAACAACTGTGCACTTGTGTGCCCGTGGTTGTGTGACTTAATCTAGTGATCAAGCTTAGAGTTTTGTGACAGGTTAGGGCAGTGGTTGTCGGCAAGTTGGTGCGCCTTCAAGCAAAAAGACTACTCAATTTACGAGAGGTTGCACATGTCGACCACCAGCAAAGTCACCAAGTCTGTACCTTACCTCAAAATTTGTGACACTTTCAAGTAAAATTTAACGACAAGTGATAATGTTACTGAGGAAAGGCAAAAACAAAAACACAAAAAGACAATGGTAAAATATTTTGGTTTTATTGAAATACATCAACACCTCTTAATGCTGGTTCAGGAACACTTGTAGTAACATGATTCAAAAGTCGTTTCAGTCCTTAGAAGTCGGAGTCATCCCCATTGTCGGAACTGGAATTCCAGTCGTCAGAGTTGGTTCTGATAACAATGCGAGGACACCCCCTCGCCCCCGCCCAGGCGGCGGAGGGGTCCCGCCCGGGCCACGCGACACCACTGCTTGCACACCAGCACCTTGAGCAGCGTGGCGCCGTCACCTAAAGATTATCATAATAAGAGGATGTCCCCGCTGATGGCGCCTCGCTTAGCCTGCTGCTCCGCTCTTTGCTTAGACTGGAGCATGTCCTTCCTTACACTGTGGCAAAAAGGTACGGAAAATTCTGTTAATTTTTTTGCCAGGATTCTCCGTAGCCCTCTTATCAATATTCTCCGTAGGCTCTTACAGTATTCTCCGTAGGGCCGCACAGTATTCTCTGTAAGTCCGCACAGTCTTCTCCGTAGGACCTGGAAGACTGTATAGTCCTACGGAGATCACTGTAAGGTCCTACGGAGAATACTGTGCGGTCCCACGGAAAATACTGTAAGAGCCTACGGAGAATATTGATAAGGGGGCTACGGAGAATTACCACAAGCTGTTTACAGAATTTTCCGTAGCTTTTTGCCACAGTGTAGTGCTTCGCTTAGCCTGTTGGATGTCCTTACTGCCTTCCTTAGCCGAAGAGGCGGCGTTTCCTGCGGCACTCCATGGCAGGTCCTTGGACGAAACTGAAACAGGATACGAAAAGAAGTTGTGCTGGCCTTAACAGCGTAAATACTAAACGGTTTTAACTGATAAATTGAGAACTGTTCTTACACCCTAAACAAATGGCCCAACCTATCCTAACTAGACTAAACTGGGGGTCGCGACCCTTGAACAAACAATTATATTTTAACGAGGAAATACCTCTACACTGTTAGAACCAGGAAGTATTTTCATTACGCATGTCCGCCGCAGGTAAAAGGTCTGAATAGACCATCGTGTTTTTCTTCGTTAAAGCAATAGCTCCTTGTTCACTGTAAATTAGACTGGGCGCGGCTCACTCCCACGCCGCACGGACCGTGAATGCGGCCGCTCAGCACGAGGCGCGGCCGGCTGCCCGTGCGGTAAAGGCTAATGGACATCGCACAGATTCGGATCGACGCCCCGGCCTGTCTGCCCAAGGACGCCTCACGTAAGAACCCTCCAGGCCGGGAGGCCGATTCCGAGAGTCGTTTTCGCCGCTCAGTCCCTCTCGCACTCACGTACCTCATAGGCACGAGAGACAGAGCGACGAAAGCGACTCTCGGAATCAGTCTCAAGACAAAACAAAGCCCGCGGCCACGCTAATGCACCGTGCAGCACGGCTCCTCTTTCTCGGTCCACTTTGGATCCGCATCCGCATGAAAGCGATACAGTGTCCGAGCGCCTCTCGGAGACACGACACACTGCAGGGTGCTAGACTCTACACGGTGGTACAGTCAAATCCAAAAGGAAGGCGCAGACAGCTCCGTAGGGCATTATAGTCGACCCAGCCAAACGTCTCGCTTCTTGTGACCGTTGCAAATACCCCCTCCAAAGGGCCGGGGGGACCGCGGGGGCTGGTGCGGGAGCACTTTCGCGGTGGAGGGGGCAGTTAGAACGGTCGCAAGAAGTGAGACCTTTGGCTGGGTCGACTATAATAAGGTCCAGGACTTTGGGCAGTGGTAAGGGACCTCGCTGAGGATACACTGCCAATCTAAGTGTGAGACAGTCTCACACTTGGATTGGCAGTGTAGTCTTAGAGTCTAGACAGCGGTGGTTCTAACCTCTAAACGGTAGAGAGGCCTGGCCAATTATGGTGTTAGGTGGAGTAGACGGCTGGATGCGCACGACCAAACGACGCGGGGCATGGTGAAAACGGTTCCTGGTTTTCGCAGGAACTCCCTTGAAATCGCCTATGTCTTTACCATGGGCTGAGAAAACCAGGTACTGTCCAAACCCTTGGAAAAATTTTTTATTAGTATTTAATGAGACCTTATAAGCACTAAATTAAATTTTAACATAGATTTAATTAGACCTGACTCCTTTATTAGATCTTAATGTGGTCCACATTAAAACTGAGTAAGTATTCCATTTTAAACTAAATTTGGGGCATGTTCAGTTTAATGTGGTATATTATGTGCTCTCAATTTGCCCGGTCGGCGACGATACACTCTAGAAAAAGTTATGAAATTTAATATCGAAAAGAGTATGACTTTTCATTAACACGTTCTAAAAGTCATCTTTCATAACACTGTTCTGAAAATTCAGAAAATTCAGAAATTTCAGAAACAAACTTATCAAAGTTCAGAACGAGATACATTCAGAACAGGCGTTAAGAAAATTCAGATTGTCTTTTTAAAACTTAAGAATGGTTTTCATATCATAGCAATGGCTCTGACATTCTCAACCCATGTCAAAAGCTTGCCTGGGAAATAAAATTGTACAAGAGCTTCTGAAGAACCAAAATGGATTGTCTACGAATTCACTTCGGAGCCCGAATCCCGATCCCGCCCGAACTAGCCCGAACCCCAATCCCGCCCGAACTCCGATCCCGCCCGAACTAGCCCGAACCCGACAGTTCCGGAAACAAATGACGAGCGACGGGCGAAACGAAACGTCGGTCAAGATAGCGCCGTCGCGCTCCGTTCGTTTCGTCGTCGTAGGCCAAACAACGTTTTAAATTTGTGTTATGCAATCTATAATCTACCAAGGAGTTTCCATATTATGCTGTTAGCGTACGAGAGGTGAATTTCTGCTTCATAACGCGGAAGTTTTGGTTCAAGTGAGTTTGCCCAGTTCCCACTTCTGCTTCACTGCTTCAGCCTCAAAACCACTCAGAACATTGTGGTTTCTGTATTGTACTTAAAATTGTTCGCACGCCTGCGTTTTCAATTTATTTGAAGAACAGCAATACTTTTAGTGACTCAAATGATTTAATTGCAGTGGTCAGGGTCGTCCACTTTGACGGTACCGGCGATATGTGTCACCTAACCTACCTACTGACCTGCCTGTGTACTGTAAAGTACACGTAGCTACTGCAACCTTGCAACTATCCCCGTCTGCGATGATTTCCTATGTACAAGTAAGTTATTTTATTCTAATTTAATTTAATTCTTCTGTGGAATAATGTTTTGTTTTCCTTTTAATAAACTGAATGTTTGTCTGTTATTTGTATGATTCTAGGTGCGTATCATGGTGCGGCTGCTGCAGCAGGTCTGTTATTGGATTCCTGTTTGAATGTGGGACTAGCCGATACTGATAAGTAGATGGTAAACAACTCAGCTATTTGGTGAGTGTTCCGTTACTATCTTTTCTTTCTTTTACTTTGTTTATTTTTTTTGGGATCTAAGCTGTTTACGAAGCGGCTCCAATCTGGGGAAAAGATTTTTTTATTTCCATTTGACCAGACTTAAACATTTCCTTAAATATAGTATTCCATATCAAAGCGTTCACTTAAAAATTATGAGGCTTACACATTTAGACCCAGTTGGAGCGACAAAATATCTGCAAACATTTGTCGTTTCTTTAAAACATACCTTGCCCCTAGAATGTGAACGGAAGTGGTTCATCTTAGCTTTGCTATCTTCCTCGACTCACAGTTAACAGATTATGTGTTTTTCATCCTAATGCAACCATCACAGAATAATAAGATCAAAACAATGGAAGTCTGTCAATATAAATTAAAACTTACAGATATCCTTCAAATTTTGGTGTTGTTTTCTCTTGGTACATGTGTCAATGTTTTTAAAATGGTTGCAGTGACATGAACATGTTAGAGTCTGTTGGCTTTGAGTTGACAAAAAAAGTAAAGCCTTGATCAACCTCTTACGTTCAGTGTTTTCAAGAAACAACAAATATTGCCACATATACAGCCTCACTGACTGGTTAAATGTGGCTTTGACCTAAGTTTAGTAATCAGTTGTTAACTGTGAAAAAAGCTTCTTTTTTTTAAACAGGAAGATTTTTAACAGATCATTCCCCTCTGGTTTAACCTGGTGCTAACTGTTTGCTATGTTTATGCTCAACAGATGCTCATTACTTTCCTACACGCGCTGATTTTGAAGTATGGGATTTCAAGTTGCTTCATTGGATACTTCACATTCTTCAGTGCCTCTGCAAGAGTGAGTAGAGTAAATTATCAGTGTCTCTGTCGTATCAGTGTGTCAAAGTAGTATTTATTAACCAATTCCCTTTTGTTACTTCCTTGCAGATAAAGCAATTCTACAATGGATACTTGTGAAGAAAATTTATTCTTATCTGTGCTTATCTTTTGTATTGCTTACTCTATTGTTCATTAAAAGTTGAATGTCATTCACCGCACCGGTAATAATAAAAATTACCCAACGTTGCTTGTGAAAAGTAATGAAACTTTTATAATATTTCATAATGGAGACTCAGAACAAGATCTGAATGTTAAAAACCATGCGAACCCTTCCATTTGCCCTCTTTACCTGAATATGAACTGTATTTGCCCAAATTAAATGCCTCTATGATTATATTAAAAACGGTCCTAATTTGCATTTAGTAAAGATTTAACTAAGATTTAGTAAATTGAACAGATTAATACAAATTAAATACAGATTAAAACAAATTGAAATGAGTCTAACTGATGGGGACAATACATATACCTCCACTCCTTGAAGAGGTGACATTTTCTCCCAACCAGCCAATACAACAAAATAGGATCACTGGACCCACAACATTTCCTCCACAAAGGGTACTGAACATGGCATCTGAATATAGTCACATTAAATTTAATATGAATGGTCATACTCAACTCAATTAAGCTTAAGTCATATCAAATAAATACTTAATTTAAAACAAGGTAGGTTTACGCCAGACCGCGTCTTGTCGTAACAGGCTTCGCGATGTCTCGCTGCCTGTTCCTCCAATCCACGCCTGGCGTACCTACCTTGGCCTGCGGCGCTAGCCTGCCTGCGGCAGGCAATGGCTTGTCCGTTGTCGGTTATTTTTTGACTTGTTGAACGCTGGGGGGCTCCGCCCCCCAGACCCCCCTACATTCTAAATAGAGTTGTTTTACCTACGGACAACACGATCTTGACCCTTGTCACTTTTTAACTTGTCGTACCTGGGGGGCCCAGACCCCCCTTTCTCAAAGACAGAAGTGGTCTATCTGCAGAAATCTCTATTTTTCGCCGTTTTTTAGGTGTTTTTCGCCTATAAAAACTGAACCAGTTGAGCTAGGATGGTGAAATTTCGCGTGTGCCGAGCCAAGGACATACCCAAGAAGTGTGCAAAATCTCACCGAGATCGGCCGAGCCGTTCAGGAGGAGTAGTGCGGACACACAGACACACAGACACACAGACACACAGACAGACCGACAGACAGACAGACAAAACTTTTCAACCCCACTGGAGTAACAGGCTTCGCTATCGCTCAGCCAAAAAATATGGGGTTAAATTAAGAACAAGGTAGGTGTACGCCAGACTGTGTCTTGTCGTAACAGGCTTCGCGATGCTGCGCCAGTTTCGACAATCCACGCCTGGCGTAAACACCTACCTTGGCCTGCGGCGCTAACCTGCCTTCGGCAGGCTGCCTTCCTTGGAAGACCGTGGAAATTAGCGTGATCCCCTCAGAAAGAGCATTTGGTCATCAAAATCTTCACTTATGGGGCTAAACTTTCGGTCGGAGGTCTGAATGGGTTCTATTTTCGTCATCAGCAGCCTCAAAAACATTTAAAACGACATTGAACTTGACAAAAAGTTGAAAGTTCCCAAGAAGTTGTCTTTTTCCTGCCGTTTTTAAAGTGTTTTTTGGCTAATATGACCGAATGGATTGAGATAGAAAGCTGAATTTTGGTGTGTGGCGAGCCAAGGATATGCCCAATGACCCTGCAAAATCTCAGTAGAATCGGCCGAGCCGTTTAGGAGGAGTAGTGCGGACACACAGACACACACACAGACAGACAGACAGACATGAAAAACTTTTCAACCCCACTGGAGTAACAGGCTTCGCTATCGCTCAGCCAACTAATAAAATATTTTTCCAAGGGAACTGACGGTAATACAAACCTAACTGTCTATCAAGTACTCACTTGCATGCTTGCAAGCACTCACAAATGCATATCGTGTCGCATTGAGTTTTAAAGCGCCAATCAATCAACAGAAAGTGTGCACTTGCAAAGTAGACATTTTTAAGTGTGTTCTCGACCAAGTATGGGTTTTTTAGTGTGTACTTCCAAGCATGCATTTGTACGCGTGTACTTAGCAGAAGTTAGGTTTGTAGCCAATGGGGCCAGAAAACCGGCACCGCCGCCCAACTCTAGACGCATTTTGGGCTCTACAGTAGCTAAACAGGACTCGAACCGAACGCGTGACCCCACCAATGGATTCCTCGTTCGGAGAGCAGTCCATTGGTGGGTTCACACGTTCGGTTTGAGTCCCATTTAGCAACTCTGGGGCTCAACACGCGTCCGGGATTTTGACCGACTCCACCGGTCTTCTGACCCACTGTGTACCTGTGAAGCCGGCCGGCGTGACCGCGTGCTTCTTTTCGGTCTGCTCGGCCTTCCCCGGGCTCGGCGGCCAGCGATGACATAAATCCGCCGCAATTGCCGCGTCGCGCAGTAAATTGAATATGGAGCCGGGCGAGGCTGGGAAGCGGGCGCCACGCCGCGCCACGCCATGCCACGTGCAAGCGGAAGTGCACGGTCTCACCTTTTGAAACACGAGACGCATGCACCGGGACTAGGGCAGGGCGCGGCGCCCGGCACAGCCTTCAGGCTCGAGGGAAAAAGTAACGAAATTGGCGCGTTTTCGAAAGGCGCCTCTGCCCTCTCATTCCGGGAACGTGACACCACGTTGAAACAAACGTGACGATATGTCACGTTCGTTTAAGAATTGTGTCACGTTCGTTTGAATGTGAACAAGCTGATTTTTGGCCAGTTCACACCCAAACAAATGTGATACAATGCTCAAACGAACGTGACATTCTGTCACGTTCATTTCAACGTGATGTCACGTTCCTGGAATGAGAGTGCGATCAATTTCCGCATGAAGAGAAAGGAGTAAAAAAACCACTGGAAATGGAAGGTGCGAAGGCACATGCAGTGACTGCCGGATACCTTTTGGATGATTTCATAATGATTTTTGGTGGATGAAGCATGTGCTATACAAAGACGAGGCTGGACTAATTTGTGAGGAAAAGAACTGATTCCAGGGCCAAGCATGCGCTTTTAAGTAGGCATATGCCAACTATTTCCAGTTTGCCTTATTCTATTCCTCTTCTCGTAAGGTCGAGGATTGGGTTAATCGATGACAAAAATCTCATTTAGACGACTGAAACCGAACTCTGGGGATCGTGTGGGGTGCGAATAATGGATTGAGTAGTCTGTCGTAGAGGGAAGGAAATGCCGATTGCTTTGCAGAGGGCGCCCCTTCCTCCTTTCTCAGCGTACATTCCTCACTCACTCTCGGCAAGACGACGCGGAGAAAGGAACACTGTGGCAAAAAGCTACGGATAATTCTGTAAACAGCTTGTGGCAATTCTCCGTAGCCCACTTATCAATATTCTCCGTAGGCTCTTACAGTATTTTCCGTAGGACCGCACAGTATTCTCCGTAGGACCTTACAGTGATTTCCGTAGGACTATACAGTCTTCCAGGTCCTACGGAGAAGACTGTGCGGACTTACAGAGAATACTGTGCGGCCCTACGGAGAATACTGTAAGATCCTACGGAGAATATTGATAAGAGGGCTACGGAGAATCCTGGCAAAAAAATTAACAGAATTTTCCGTACCTTTTTGCCACAGTGAAGCGGGCAGGATGCTGCGCGACGTGCAGATTTAAGGATGCGCACGGGCGTGCAAGTTTGAACGCGCGCGCGCGCGTGTGTGTTTGCATGTGTGTGTGTGTTATACCGCTGTTGTCGTTTCGTTGCCGCGTCCGGCACTGTGGAAAAAAATCACAGTAAATCCTGTAGTGATTAGTGCAGCTGTCACTGTAGTTCAGAGTACAGGATTTACTGTACCTTTTTTACATGATCCACTGTACTTTGTACGGGATTTACTGTACCACAGGAGTGGAGTACGGAATATCCTGTACAAGGTACAGTAAATGCTGTAGCCAGGCACAGTAAATCCTGTGTTTTGAACTACAGTAAATCCCGGCAAAAAAGTTAACGGGATTTACTGTGGTTTTTTCGCACAGTGGGGGCGCCCAGGCTGCAGTGCCGTCACAAGCTTGTTACACTGTTCCGGGTGCGCAGCCAAATGGATGATTCGCTCCCGTTTAGCGACTCAGGAGCTCAAAACGCGTCTCGAGTTTTGGCCGCCGGGCTTCTGGCCCACTGTGCACCGTAGCACAACAGTGCAAAGGCGCGAGCTCTGCCGTGAAGCCGCGTGGCGGGAAAAGAAAGCGAGAGGAAGAGGCAAGCCTGACCTTGGAGGCACGTCACCCCTTTCCCTCTCGGCCGTGACGTCATCCAGGCGGGCGGACCGGCAGGTTCAAGGCCACCGTGGGGCTGGAGGAGGCGGAGAAAGGGGGAAGCGGGCAGGGGCAGTTAGAACAGACTCTTTTGACAATGCCCCAGAGGGCGCTAACGGTGGACACGCACTTACACACAATCAAATACACACGTATACAAACACACCACCGCTCTCTTTAAAAAAAAAAAAAAAAAAAGGCAAAGAAAGAAGTTTCCGAGGGTTGTAAGGAAACCTATGTGTTATCTTAATAAAAATTTCATTTCTTCCCATATAACTTTGGAATAATTTTTCTGCAAAGATTTTCAAAGAATCTAATCTGAGTGCAAGCAAGAATTGACTCCATTGAGGTGCTGATCCCAGTCGTATTAAATTCATCACGTTGACAAGAAGCACGACTAAAAGGGGTAACACTAGACAAATCTTTTCCGAAAATCTTCCACTAAAAGGAAATTCCAAATTTCATCATGCACGCAAATTTGTACCTTCCACTTACCAGGTAAACAACAAAACAGGGCTCGTGGTGACTGTAATCCGTTATAAAAAAAAACGGCTTCTTTCACCAGATATTCTTGGTCCGCTGTGGGAGGGAAAAAGTGGGACGTTGAGCTGCTCTGCTGATCGGGGATGTCGATAGCACGGCAGCGCGCACTGCCTTGGAGGCTGTTGCTACTCCACCCCGCTGTTGCGGCAATGCGTGCCATGTCCATCGGCCCACCACGCACCAGTTTTTTGTGACTTTTTTTTCTCTTTACAACGAGCCCACCTATCATGGGCCCAGACACCAGAGGCACGAAACGGGCGGACCTGCGCGTGGAGTGAGGTGGGGTAGGTAGACACTGGGCCGGCGATGCGATGCGTCCAACGACGGACAGACAGACGCGTTCGCTGGGCACAGCCAGAGCCACAGCCAACGGCCGGCCGGCCGGCAGTGCCAGCAGCAACCACTGCAGGCAAGGCTCGAAGCACCCGCTGGCTGACAGCGGTGACCAGCCGAAGTCGCCTTGGCTACCTTCGGAGCGTCCGGTTAGCTTCGGTAACGCACCTCAATGGGCGAGTACCGGACCGGACCCGGGCCTGGTACTGTAATGAAGAAAATTTGTGGATACCGAAACGGACGCGCGGGTCCGCCCGTTTTGTGCCTCTGCCAGACACAGTCAACACAACCTGTACGATTCGCGTCCGGGTCAAGTGAAACTAAGCTCTCTACGCGGCGATTTTCGTTACTCGAGGTGCAGATGTACATCACACTAAAAACCTGTCTACTTAGTACGAACTCACAGCTGCATGTTTGGCCCCATAATTTGGTATGCATAAAGGGTCAGTGCAAGGAAAAACTGGACAGGGGAAGAACTGAACACCCCACATTTTACTTCAAATGCCGTATGCCCAGGCTTAACCACTAGGATTTAATGAACCGCTTATGCCAAGGAATATCTTTTTATGATTATGCCTGTGTATACGGCACTTGAAGTAGAATATGGGGTGTTCAGTGTTCGGTTCTTGTCCTGTCCAGTTCTTTCTCCCACTGACCCTACACTTGTGCGTACTTGGCCGCGCAAACATTTATAATTTTGCACTTGGGCCATGCATTTGTACTTGCAGGTAGGCACTTGTAATTTGTATGAGTAGACAGATAGATTTGTAGTCTAAAGTAAAAGAAAAGGATCCTAAATTTCCGTTATATTTAGAAATTTTAAGTATTTATGCAATAACTGCAGCAAAACTGTTGATAACTACCTGCAGTTGAAATGAAATTATGTGGCAGAATATGTAAGCACAAGGAACTGCACTCTGCGAAATATAGCACAGTATAAAAGGCCCCACGAAAAAAGGACACATAATAATGTTAAACGGACAAGTTGCATGATATTTATTTACCGTCACCAAATGTACACTAACAAATAAGCAGAGCAAGTCAGTTTTAGACATTTTCAATCAAACAACTGACGCTTAATGGTTATCGCCTTAAGTCGAAATTACAGAACAAAATCTCAACGGAATGCGGTAAGGACACTAATACAATTAAAATTACAAAATTACTAACAATGCATAAAAAAGCAGTTCTTAGAAAATTTGAGTTCACACAGTAAGTTAACTGCACGCACTGAATTAACAAGGAGCTACTTGACTCGTAACACTGCAAAGCCAAGCCGGCGGCAACACAGATGTGTGTTACAAACTTGGCAAGCTGATCTGAATTCCAAAAATTGGCAAGCCTGGCCCGGAACACTCCCCAGCTTGCCAGATCGGCATTGCAGGCAGCCGAAGCGCCAAATATTGGCAAGCTGATATGTTTCAGGTCAAGGTTTGCCAATTTTTGGCACACATCAAAACATAACAACAAAACTACTTCCAGCCAACTACCTGACAGGCTATTCCTCTAAGTGTCTTTTTAAATGGTTCACCAAACTGTGTTTTTGAGTGAACCTCGTACCACATACTGTGCACTTAAAAGGCTTCTCTCCAGTGTGCGTTCTAAGATGATGCACCAAATTGGGTTGTTGAGTGAACCTCGTACCACATACTGTGCACTTAAAAGGCTTCTCTCCAGTGTGCGTTCTAAGATGAAGGGACAGAGCTCCACTGGTAGGAAACTTCTTGCTGCAAACAGTGCACTCAAATGGTTTCTCCCCGGTATGGGTACGCATATGGACTGAAACAGCAGATTTGTGCCGAAACTTTCTGTTGCAAACTGTGCACTTAAAGTGCTTTCCACCAGTGTGGAGAGTTTGATGAACGCGAAGAGTATATCGCCGCCCAAACTTCTTTTTGCAAACCGGACACTCGAAAGGCTTCTCTCCTGTGTGCGTTCGAAGATGATTTTTCAGAGCGTATAGTTGAAAAAACTTTTGACTACAAACTGGGCATTCGAAAGGCCTCTCCCTCTCCCCTGTATGCGTTCTAAGATGTATCACAAGACCCCATGAATAGCCAAACTGTTTTTCACAAATTGCGCACTTGAAAGGCCTCTCTCCTGTATGTGTCCTTGAGTGAACAATCATAGTCGTTTTCGTACGGAACATTTTATTGCACACCGGGCACTGAAATGGCTTCTCTCCTGTATGTAGAAGCTGGTGCTTATTGAGACTTGATTTGCTCTTCAACATTTTTTGGCAAATAGAACATTTAAAATTCTTCTCTGCCGAGTGCGACTTACGATGACTTCTGAGATAATCAGATGAAGCAAACTTTTTGTTGCAAATTTGGCACTCAAAAGGTTTTTCCCCAGAATGGGTTATAATATGGTTGTTAAGATGGTTTTTGGACTTAAACTTCTTTGAGCACACTAAACACTCATAGGGCTTATCATCTGAGTGGCATCGAAGATGAGATATAAGACAGTAAGAAGTCTTGAACTTCTTTTTACAGACAGTGCACTCGAATGGCTTCTCCTCTCTGTGACTTACGACATGATCTGAAAGGTTGCGAGCAGTACAATATTTCTTACTACAGATAGTACACTCAAAAGTCTTCGCCTTTGTGTGGGTTGAGAGGTGAGATCTAAGAAGCACTTCGTCACTGAACTTCCTCCTACACAGCGTGCAACCAAAAGGCTTTTCTTGAGTATGGATATGAAGATGCCTTTTCAGATTATTTTCTAGCGCAAATTTATTCTTGCACACTGTGCACTCAAACGGCTTGTCGCCCAAGTGAAACTTGACATGACGTTGGAGATTTTGTTCTAGGGCAAACTTTTTATCGCACTCTGTGCACTCGAAATTCTTTTCGTCCGAGTGACTTATAAGATGGCGTTTCAAAGTCGCTCTCTCATTGAACCTCACCCCGCAAACATCGCACTGGAACGGCTTCTCTCCTGTATGAGTCCGGGCGTGCACTGTCAACCTACGCCGGGCGGAGAACACTGCCGCGCAGACTTCACACTCATAGGCCATCGGTCAAAACCTGCAACACGCACGCGTCTCGCTTGACTTGGATTTCAACAGAAACTTAGTTAACCGAGCAGCACGCACTTACTTTTAATGTCGTTTCGCTGGACTACACTTGTAAACCGCCGACCTCTGACCAAAACTGATGGGTAAAATAAAACCGGATCTGAAAGGTCATTGGAGAGAAAAAAATAAATTCATGTACCTAGCCTACTGGGCCGACCGCCGCCATATGGTGTCGACAACTAAGGGCCACTTCCGCCCGCTTTGCAGAAGTTTTTTTGTTTGTTTTTTTTTTTTTTTTTGGGGGGGGGGGGGGCAAAATGTAGGGAAAAAAACACCTTGCCCCTTAGCAACCCTTGGGACCCCAGCCGACTAGCATTCCACTGCGAGCATTTAACTGTTGAATTTAATACTTGATTGCTTGGGTCACAATCACCTGTCCTTTTTTGAACTAGTGAATATCCACCACTATTAGTAAAATCTGCAGAGCCTTTTGCCATCTTTTAAATTTTACCCAGTGTATTGACCAATATCGATGAATTATCATAGCAAATGTTTTAAAGATGCACTTTAAGACAAGCTGTTCGGAACAATTTTACTGAGAGCAAACATTGTTTAATCTTGTGAGTAGTCTGATTGAATCCATTATTGGCCTTGGCCATTTATTTCTTAATATGTTAAAACATAGGTTGATCTCATTAGTTAATAATTGTCTGAATGTGATATTTTATCTTATAAGTTTAAATCGATCAACGTATAGGAAAGATTGAACTCATATTCAGATGTAATTGGATTTGATCGGAGGGCCAGCTTAGTCGAAGACCAATACTGAGAACCAGTTACCACAGACAAAGAATATTGAAGGTAAAGGAATTGTCCAATTGAATTCAATGACCAATGCACTCACAGTTCAGAACATGACTTGTTTCATTGTATCTTAAGTCCCCGTTATAATTTGATACACACAACCATATGTTGATCACTGTAACAAAAACACATAGTCTTTAAATTTCATTAATGCTTTGTCAGGAGTTGCCCATGTATTTGTGGAACATTACTGGTAAATACAAAGTCCGGCCCAGCACTACTTCATTCATCGGTAAAAATGTTTCAAACTAAAACATTCATGCAAAAGAATAAGTTACTTGATCAGTGAACAGAAATATTACTGGGAAAGACTTTAAATTTTCTGGTACGATTCCACTATTACATGGGCAACTTCTGACAAAGTATTGTTGAAATTCACGCACCAGTATTTTAGCTTGTGTCAAATACATTTTGTCTTTTTAATTTTTTTTTCCATACTTTCCACTTAAAACATTTCAAAACAATTTTCTTTTCATGACTTTAAAGAGAAGTAACGGCCAATATTAGCCAATAGTTTCTAAATCAAACCCTCTTGTGAAAGGGAAAGGGGGGAGGGTAAGTTGCATTTTTGACCCAAAGTTTAACTCGCTGACAAGAGTCTTGGGCGCGTCATTGAGTGCCATATGCTAGCATCAAAACAGGCTTAACAAAAAATATTAATTGAAACAGGTCTAAAAGGAAAAGAATAGTGAGTTTCAAGAGAGCACATACGTTATTTGAAGTAACACTCAATGGTTTGAACAGTTTGAAAAGTAAATGGTATGCAGTGTTCACCCCAACCTCCTATTTAGTTAGCATTTTAACCCATCCACAAACGAAAGTGAGTCATCCAAACCAAATTTGTAACTCTGTATTTAACATTGCAGCTTCAAAGAGAGCATTATCATAAAAATATAATGACAATACCTTTTAAAATAGAAAATATAGAAAAGCTTTAGGTATTCTCTCCTTACCATACGCATCGGATACATTTCAGAGAAGAATTTTCTCATTTTGTTTTTATCCTTTACTTAACTTTAGTTAGTAAGCACCCAGGAAAAGAAGATTTGACGTTTCTACCCTTGTACTTGCCTGACACCGAAGAAAACTAATTTCCTACCTAAGTCCAAGTTGCAAAGCGGACAAAGCACAATTTTCTAGTCCTATGCATAAACTGAGAAAACACGACATATAGGTTCAGAATCGAACGGCGCGGTCATTTCCAAAGTCCATACCTATTCAGAATTTTAATAAATATATTTTAAAACGAACCCTAAGTCAATCAGACACGAAAAGCAGACACTTCACTTTTCAAACCAACTGTAACCTCGTTGCTTTGAAGCCCGTTGAACGACCCGAAACGGACTGTTTGATACAGTAAACTTACCTCGCAACAATTCGACGATGCTCCTCAGGGTTTTTCGTCACAAATACACACCACACACATTCAACTTTCCAATTTTCCAAGCCTCGGACTGTCAGCTTCTTCACAAACAACAACAGCCTAAGGTAGAGCCTAAAATTGTTCTTGGCGCCACCGCTACCTCGCCCGCCCTGTCTGCGCATGCGCCTTTAGATACGAATGTGAATGTGTCATTGCTAATAAACGCACGCATCCCTACAGGAGGCTACATGGTTTCCTATAGTATGAGAAATTGGGCGCAACGAAGCACTCAGTGTTTTCGGTCTCCGTCCCTTTTGATAAATGTTGAAATATGTGTCAGCCATCGAACTTTCCATGAGGCCGGCCAAGTTTTGCTATCGATTTTTGCTAGTGGAAAGTTAGCGCGTCGTAGCTTGCAGTGTAGCAGGCAAACTTGACGGCGGAGAGTGCACGGACCGTGCCAGGGAATGCCGCACCACGGCGACCGGGCCCTCTCGTATCCGGTTTCCGGCTGGTCTCGCCGCGCTTCTGGTCGTTCTAGTCACAGGCCTGCTCCACGTCTTCATAAGCGGCACGCCGGGGCACTTTATGGCTGACTCGGTATGTACGTTTTAAAATTTGCCGCCACCTCTTATCTTCCGCGGCAATTTACTCTGGTTTCCGTTCGTTTTAGAGTTGCGCTCTAGAAATCCTAGTCCAGCAGACTGATTCCGAGTGCGAGAGAGACAGAGCGACGAAAATGACTCTTGGAATAAGTGTACAGGTGCTGGATGGGTGGCCTGCCCTCCCGGCGCTTCTTCGCGCACTTCCGCTTCACGCTCTGAAGTACTGCGAGCAGTTGGACTCAGCAGACGGCGATGCAGACATCAGATTTTCTTCAATGTCAGATTGTGGCAAATGCCTGTAAACGTAATTTGTCATATGGACCATTATTGTCATTTCATTTTTGAAGCACTCGCCCCCCTCCCCTTTCCTCCTCTTCATCCACCCAACAAGTTCACTTTCCAAAATTTACTTTTAACATTCTATTCTGTTAGGAGAAGGAGTGGATAAAAGAAACCCATGCTATTTATAAAAACGTTTATTTGTACATGTACCTGTTTATGAGATACCTAGTACGTACATGGTACGCATACAATACAGGCATGAAACACTTATTTCATGTTTACATTAATTTTTATTTATGTTGTAAACAAGATAATTTGTATCAGGGATGTACATTTTACAACCTGCACAAAATTTGTTGAATGGGTAATTTGGCCTGATTACAGAATTTTGAGCTGCGCAAATAACAATACACAGTTGTTTTTATGCAACCGAGCGAAAATGAAAATGCAATATTAGAAACAAGAATTCTGTCATGGAATTTTTTTATGAGCCTGATTAAAGGCTATGTCAGAATTGTGATTTAATAAAAGTGAACGATAATTTCTCGTAGTGCATTAGAAACTACATTCAAGAACACGGTCAAAAACACACAAACACTTAATGCTAATTATAATATATTTAAGAATGAATTGCATCGACCCTAGGTAACTATGTGGGATCTGATTTTCATGCCGAGCCACAACAACTCTATCTTCCATCGATCATTATAATAATTTGAAAAACAAAGAAGACGAAACCAATCAAACAAGAGCCAACTCAATTGGTGGAAAGATAATATGTCTCCCGTGATGCCCCGCGCAGCAGTGGACTCGAGCGTGGAGGGAAGGGGTGAAATTAAAACGATTTAAAACTAAATTGAGCATTTCTCTGATTGCACATGGGGCAGATGAGATGTGCAACGAGGAGGGCACTTCATCGAGAAAGGCGTCTCGAAGTCTACTGTAAAAATTTGTTGTCACTTTATGACAAAGTAGTGGATGAGTTTTTCATCAATGACTCATCCTAAATTGAGGACATTTTCATGAAATCTCCCATTTTTGCTGTCTGTGCGTAATATAAAACAATATCATAAACTGGTTTGATGACATTTTTGTAACGGAAATTAGCCTTCACATTGTCATCAAGTGGCAACCAAAATTTTCAGTGTAGCTTCGCGCCTCTGTAGTGCTGCAGGGGGTGCATCCCGGTGCACATGGGGGAGGCCATGAAGGAGGCCATGAAGGAGGCCATGAAGGAAGCCATGAAGGAAGCCATGAAGGAAGCCATGGGGAAGGTCATGGATGCCACCAGGAGGTCCGCGTGAGACTAGGGGCGGTCCGGCCGGAGTCGCGGCCCCGCCGACACGCCGACAGTGTCCGCCAGACGTCACGCGGCATCGCGTCGAGGCCAAAATAACCGGAGAGCGGATAATTTAGCATCGAGACGTCACCGACGCGGTGGAGGCGATAGTGGGTGCTCGGGACTGGCCCGGCTGGTCCTTCTCAAGCCCGGTGCACTTGTTGAGCTGGGCCGGTCACCCAGTGTGCTCAGCACTTGGTGTCAACGTGCGCGCCGCCGTGCCGCCGTGTCGGGCGGCCTCAGGGCTTCAGTTCCCCGCCGCTGCCGCCGGCGCCGCGCTGGCGTCGCTCTTGGTCGACGTCGACGGTGCCTTGACGGCGACGTCCTTGGCCGCGGCGCCGCTGCTGCGGGACGCCCTGAGCGCGTCCACGGACACGCTGTCCAGCTCGGGGTTGATGTCCTCCTGGCCTCGCGCCGGCAGGCCCCGCAGCCCGGCCAGCACCAGCCTGTTGCGGTTCACCTTCTCCTTCTCCGCCTCGTCGCGGAGGTTCTGCAGCACCGACGACTCCTTGGAGTTGATGAACACGGACAGGTTGGGCTGGGGAGCCGTGGACTGCACGATGCCCGCGGGGTTCACCGCCTGGACAGAAAGAGGAGTGTTTGACTGCATGTTTGGTATGCGTGGATAACGGATGTTCAAGGATCAAAAGAGGCCAAGACTGTGTGACGTTTCCGTTGCGCCGCCCACCTCGCAGTGGCGATGTGACACTCGGTGACACTGGCGTCTCTCGCCGGGGGAAGGTCAGCCGGACGCACCAAGCGCCGTGAGGGTAGGCAGCCCAATGTGCTCCCGCGAGTTGGGCTGCCTACCCTCACGGCGCTATCCTGGCTTGATTGGACTCTAGGCTTGGCTTGCCCATGCCCACGTACCTGCGGGGGCTGCCTGTTGCCGAGCTCGGAGTCGGGGTCCTCCGGCTGGTAGAAGAGCGACTCGGGGGAGGCCACGGACGAGGGGAACTCGAGGATGGTCACGAGGTTGGCGCCAGGCTTGTTGGGCCCGCCGGGCTGCACGGCCTGGGCCTGCTGCTGCTGCTGTTGCTGGATGGGTCGCTGCGGCGGTGACTGCAGGGGCTGCTGGGGCTGGCTGTGCACGGTCTGGTACTGGAAGGTCTGGTGCTGCGGGCTGTTGATGGGCTGGAACTGTTGCAACATGATGTCCATACGTCAAACCAAGGCATCAATCATGTCATAAAGAAACAATAGAGGTAATTCTTGACACTATTTGTTTTCTATTCTTCGCAAAAGACGTAATAGAACAAATTTTTTCTAAGAATCTGTCATAGGGGACAACCACCTAAATTAGATATAAAATTATGGTTCGAAATTGCAACGTGTTTTGATTGCGCACAGGTTGTTGGAGTTCAAAACTTATCTCTAATTTTATTATGTAATGAGTTTGATGAATGAAGAGCGAATCCCACTTTACAGTACGTAATCGTCACTCTCAGCAACAATCATGTAACCTTTGATCTGCTTCAATACGGCATGAGGTGACAGAAAGATACGATAGCAAGACTAATTATTTTCCTCTTACGACAATTGCTTGAATTTTTATCAATATAAATAAAAATAGTCAATCGACATCAGGCCCAAGTTTGGCATGACATTTTCTAATTGGCCTCTCAGAACCTGCCGTAAAGAGTCCCAAGCCAAGATTTCACGCTCCATTAGAGTGATTAGGGTTCCATAAGAAAACTTGGACTTGTAGGCTTATTACAAAATGTGGACTTAAATTCAATTTTTTCTTCGATCAAATCTTTGTACCAGAAACAATATAAACAGATTTTTTTTTTAAAATTTAAACTGAATGGAAACATTACTTATGAAGTCCCTTGTCTCTGCTGGTAAATACTTACTGTGTTCCAAAAAAATTAAAAAAAAAAAAGATAGTTTTGTAAACATTAGCGGAGTTTCATGTGCTTTTCTCCACCGTTGAAAGTCTTATGACTGCCTGTTACAATTTAACATACTGAGTGAGAAAAGTTGCCTGCCTGCTGGGCGTACCTGGTACTGGGGACGGGGCTGGAAGTGCACCTGGAACTGCTGCTGGGGTTGTTGCTGGGGCACTTGCTGAGCCTGCTGCTGAGGCTGCTGCTGCTGGAACTGCTGCTGGGGCTGTTGCTGTTGGAACTGCTGCTGCTGGAATTGCTGCTGAGGGGCCTGCTGCTGCTGCTGCTGGGGGACCTGCTGGGGCTGCTGCTGAGGCTGGAACTGCTGCTGGGGCTGGAACTGCTGCTGGATCTGAGGCAGGGGCAGTCTCTGTGGGGCGAGCAGTTGCTGCTGGTCCTCGAAGCCAAACCCGTAGTACTCGGGCGCCAGGGCGGGCTGGGGGTTGTACAGCGGCGCGTCGGCGTAGTAGTTGTTGGCGAAGTAGTTGAACACGGGTTGCCTGTGCAGGAGTGAGAACGCGTCAGCTAGAGCTCGTGGCCAAAATTCTAGATGCGTTTTGAGCTCCAGAGTCGCTAAACAGGACTCGAACCGAACGTCTGACCCCATCAATGGATTCCTCGTCCGGAGATCAATCCATTTGGCGGGGTCACACGTTTGGTTCGAGTCATGTTGAGCGACTCCGGAGCTCAAAACGCGTCTTGGCCACCGGCGCTGATCTTCTGGCCGCGGTGCTCTGTACACCACTCGTCCTTACCTCTGCGGCTGCAGCGCTGTGCTGAAGGGGTCCAGGGGCACGGCGTACAGGACCTTGATGGCGAAGGGCTGGGCCGGCGACAGCACGGTGCCGGCGGGCACGGGCGCCAGGACGGTGCGGATGGCGAGCGGGGCGGCGGCGCCGTCCACGCCGTGGACCACGATGAAGGAGTCGGGGAACGGCACGGTGCTCTGCAGCGACGACACGTACACGGGCTGGCGCAGCTCGACGCGCACCGCGCGCAGCGCCTGGGCCTCACCCTGCAAAGCGGCAAGCGGCATCGTCGAACGCGGCTCACGTTGCACAGTGGGCCAGAAGGCCGGCGGAGGCGGCCAAAACTCCAGACGCGTTTTGAGCTTCAGAGTAGCTAAATGGGGCTCGAACCAACAAGTGACCCCCACCAATGGATTCCTCGTTCGGAGAGCAGTCCATTGGTGGGGTCACACGTTTGGTTCGAGCCCCATTTAGCGACTCTGGAGCTCAAAACGCGTCTAGAGTTTTGGCCGCCTCCACCGGTCTTCTGGCCCACTGTGCGCTGAGGGAACAAGTAGCACACCAAAGCAAGTGTCTGGACATGGTACCTGGTTGTAGCCCGAGACGGTGGCGTACGGGATCTGCGAGTTGAGGGCGGCGACGCGCACCTGGGCCTGGCCGATGGCCTGGCCGTCGCGCACCACCTGCAGCGAGTCCTGCGCCACCACCACCAGGGGCATCTCGCTGAGCGCGCCGGGGGAGCCGCACGCGCGCTCCGCCAGCAGCAGCATGGGCTGGGCCAGCGACTGGCATTGCTGGGCCTGCACGGGGAGGGAGGCAGGGCGTCAGCCAACCCGAAAAGAAATTTGGGGGCACACTGGCGAAACTGAAGCGTAACTGCATGCAGGCACAGTGGGCCAGAAGGCCGGTGGAGGTGGTCAAAACCCCGAAAGCGTTTTGAGCTCCGGACTCGCTAAATGCGACTCGACCCGAACGTGTGACCCCACCAATGGATTGCTCTCGAAACGAGGAATCCATTGGTGGGGTCGCACAGTCGGTTCGAGTCCTGTTTAGCGACCCTGGAACTCAAAACGCGGCTAGAGTTTTGGCCGCCTGCACCGGTAGTCTTCTGGCCCACTGCGCCTGCTTACTAGTTTTACCTGCGTGCGCGCGGTTCGAACCCGCGCCACTGACGTACCTGAGCGTTCCGGCCGACCGGCTTGGCCACGTAGTAGGGCTGCGTGTTGTACAGTGTGTAGGCCGACGCCCGCAGCGCCCACAGCGACACCAGGGCCGCCACCTGCAACAGCCCGAGCGGGAGACTTTTAAAGCGCGCCGCCATTTTAGATGCAAATTCACCCCGCCCTCCGTTTTAGCCGTTTGTTTTGTCATTAGTCCAGTGAACAAGACGTCAGTGCCGCGGCATGCCGGTCGCTGCAGACTGATGCCGAGAGTCCGCGTCCGTCGCTCTGTCTCTCTCGCACCTATACGGGACGCCCCGTGAGGGCGAGAGGGATAGAGCGACGAAAACGACTCTCGGAATCAGTCTGCTGACGAGATCGCCGACGGGCCGCGTCGTCGAAGGTCGCGGCGCTGATGGGGGGGGGGGGGGGGGGGGGGGGGGGGGGAGGGGGGGGGCAAGGGGACAATTGGCCCACACTTTGCTCCTGTAAAAAGGCAACGAGAGCTACTTTGTCCCTCCCTCTCTCGGGCCGGCTCCGGATCCGCCACTGGCGGCACTTAATCGCGCGGAATGGTTGAACGCCGCCCTGTCGTCGCTCGCCTCTCTCTCTCTCTCTCTCTCTCTCTCTCTCTCTCTCTCTCTCTCTCTCTCTCTCTCTCCCTCTCTCTCCCTCTCTCTCTCCCTCTCTCTCCCTCCCCCCTCTCTCTCTCTCCCCCCTTCTCCCTCTCTCTCCCCCCCCCTCTCTCTCTCCCCCCCCTCTCTCTCTCTCTCTCTCTCTCTCTCTCTCTCTCTCTCTCTCTCTCTCTCTCGGCGTTGATCCGGTGCAGCCCGCTGCGTAATGGAAGTAATCGGTCCGTTAAGCAGGCGGCCGAGGCGAGCAGGTCGGCTGGCGCCCTCTGCTATTTCAGCGACAGCCGAAAAGGAGAACTTGTGTTCCTCGTTCGAGGGGGGAACAGTTTCCCCATTCATTGTACAAAATTTGGACACGTTCCACATTCCTGTGGCAGAAAAAAAAACGCCTGTCAGTGCGTAGGCAATTCGTAAGAGGATAACTGCAGATAACCTCCATGGAGGTGGACTTTGCTGTCCGGTCGTAGGAACCAGTGGGTATCGGATTTTCGATTGCAGCTATCGAACATTTTAACTTATCGAACAAAGCTGCACTGGTAAAACTAGTAGTATTACCCTCTATGTATTTTCAAGCGTAATCAGGTTACGCTTGAAATCAAGCGTAACAGGCTCATCCGCCAAGATTCCCCCAATCTAAATGCATGGGGGAATTTGTAGAGTATGCTTCATTTCAAGCGTAACGTCTTCAAGCGTAACTTTACGCTTGACTCAAGCATAGAGTTACGCTTCAGTTTTACCAGTGTGGATCACCACAACAAAGTAATTTTTTTCCCGTGTGAACTCTGCCGAACTAGATCTATTCAAAACGCGGACTGGTTCAGTCGGCGTCCCGTCCCGAGTCGCCTCGTCGCCTCTCGAGTCGCGGCATGATGGCCGCGGCCACTGCCCTGTCCCCCAAGGAGTCCCGGAGTCCCCAAGGAGGCGCGCGGCCACGATGTGGCGGTGAAACCGAACCCCGCCGGACGCGTCCGGACGGCCGGGTCGGAATTGGGTGAACCGCTACAAACGCGGACCACCATTGTTTGCAAATTGCAAAGCCGGCGACGGGCGGCAGAAGGACCGGCCGGGTCGGGTTAGGTTCGGGCCACTGGGGGAGGCGTGGCGGGGCGGGGCGGGGCGGGGCGGGGCGGGAGGGGCGTTTGGCCGGCCGGCGCCCGAAGGTGGGCAACCAATCAAACAACAACCCCCCCCCTTTCCCCCCTGCCCCCGTCAATGAGGTCCAAGCGGGGCTTTAAACTCCAGGGTCACGCTGCCGGCCGGCGGAGCCACTGGTTTCAGACGCCTCTATGGGAAATTGAGAGGCAGGTGGGCGGCGAACATTGGGAGATAAAACTACAGAAAAAAATTACGGAGCAAGTCTGGTCAAAAATTCTCCTGGACACTCCTTTTCGAAGGAATACCTCTGTACCTTTGTTTTCGTACACGTTTTACATAAGTTCAACAGAAAGTCACTCGGTGTCGCCATGTGGCGGGGGAACCCGGCGGACCTCGATCAGACCTCATTCCAGTCGCCCTTATCGGAGTCACCCGGACTTGCAGTCTCTCTCTCTCTCTCTCTCTCTCTCTCTCTCTCTCTCTCTCTCTCTCTCTCTCTCTCTCTCTCTCTCTCTCTCTCTCTCTCTCTCTCTCTCTCAGGATCATCGTCCTGCTGGACGACGAGCAGACCGCACTTTAGGTACGCGGAATCCACAGCGACCCTGACCCCGGACCACGCGGGTCGCGGCCAAAAGTGGCCTAGCATCCAGAATGCGGATACTATGCGAAATGTATCGGTACGCATTAGCTTGACAGCGGCGCTAATTCGGTCCGCAGGCTGATTTCGAACAGTGGCGGTTCGTCGCTGTGTCTCACTCGCTCTCCCGGGGCGTGCGGTAGGGGTGCGAGAGAGACGGCGCGACGAAGACACCATTCGGAACGACTCTGCTGCTCCATTAACGATTAGGACGTTAATTATCGCAAGCTGCTGGAGAGGCTGCCGGCTGCAGACTGATTCCGAGGGTCTGCCCTGTCTCTCTCGCGCCTGTACGGCACGCCCCGTGAGGGCGAGGGAGACAGCGCGACGAAAACGACTCTCGGAATCAGTCCGCCGGTCCATCCGTGACACACCGAGGCCCGGTCCGGCGAGCGGCCAGACACGAGTTCATATTTTTCGCAGTGAAGGCGTTTTCGCTGTTTTCCCGCCCATTTCCGCGTCTAGGATGGAAATCGATCACAGAGCGGCGCAGAGCGGAGCAGAGCGGCGAAGGTGGAGATGGAAAAAGATAATCGGCCGTCTTTTTTTCTGCCACCCTCGTCGCTAGACGCTGCGGACGCTCCAGACGCCTGCCCACCTGTCCTACGGAAGGCCAGCCACTTCGGCCAATCAGAGGCCGGGCAACGAAGAAGCGATCACTGGGAGAAAAAAAAGCGCCGATAGAGTACGGTCAACAATTTGCCTGGACCGCTCGTACTTGCTAACCATGGAAGTTCCGTACTCGTTTTCCGTACCCGCTCACCGAGAAAATATATCCCACAAACTATTTTAGACCTTACAAAGAAAAGAAGGTTGTCATAACAAAGTATTTTGAGCATACATACGTAAGCTCTCAAAGAAAATACTTCGTAATTTACGAACTATTTCTTCGTATAACAAAGTGAATTAGTTTGCATTATGTATGCTCAAAATACTTCGTAAGGTTTTAAGCGTTCTCACATGAGTTTACATAGAACACGCACGTTCCACAGGGCCAGATGAACGGCGCAGGCGGCCAAAACTCTAGACGCGTTTTGAGCTCCAGAGTCGCTAAAAAGGGGACTCGAACCGAACGTGTGACCCCACCAATGGATTGCTCTCCGAACGAAGAATCCACTGGAGTCCCACGCTCGGTTCGACTCCAGGTTAGGGACTCTGGAGCTCAAAACGCGTGTAGAATTTTGGCCGCCTCCACCAGTTTTCCAGCACAATGTGTTCAGTGTACAATTTTACATGTTTCCGTACCGTATTCTTCGGTCCATTTTCCGCGTCGAAATTCGAAATTATTTTTCACTGTGGAGCTGGAGCGACACGAGGCAAAAGGAGAAGGCGCCGTGTTTGCGGAGCGTCAATGGGAGGCAGTCATTTTCGTATGAATGAAATAAAAAGGATGCGCTGCAGCACGACTGCAGGCTGATTCCGAGAGTCGTTCTCGTCGCTCTGTCTCTCTCGCACCGATGCGTGACGCCCATGAGTGCGAGAGAGATAGAGCGACGAGAACGACTCTCGGAATCAGTCTGCTGCATATCAAATCCGCACCCGGCGATTCATTCGTACTGTAATTACATGAGAACAGTCGCCGCGGCGCTGTGTTCTCTGCTCGTTCTGAAATAATAATGCACGCCGTGGCACACGCAGCCGCGTGAAATGGCTCAATTCTTTTTTAATGAAGCAATCAGACAAAAAAGATTGCATTGTGAGAGGGACGCAACACTGTCGGCCTCTGATTGAAGAAAGAAGCAAATAAACTGCAGCGCAGCATTGCTGGTCTCGGCGTGTGTGGAGGTGGCCTGCACACTGAGAGTCGTTTTCGTCGCTCCGTCTCTTTCGCGCTCACGGGGCGTTCCGTATGGGTGCGAGAGAGACGGAGCAATGAAAACGACTCTCGGAATCAGTCAGTAGGGTCGGGAGCGCCTGTGAAGTCGAGGGTAGGCCGCCCCGTTACGCGCACGTGCCGGGCGGTTGGCCTACCCTCGCCCTTGCAGGGGCTCGACGAGCGAATGGGCATGTTTAGCGGAATTCTACTGCGGAAACATGAATACTGGTGAAACTAAAGCGTACTATTGCCCTCTGTTTTCAAGCGTAATCACACTGAAAATCTACCGGCGTGACTTCGTGCCGCTGCAGGGGCGTGAATAAAGTGTCAGGCCATTAAACGGCATGACACAAAAGTCACGCCAAAAATCGGCGTGACTCAAAAATTCACGCCAATTTTTGGCGTGAATTTCTTGTCATGCCGCTTTTTGGCGTGACTTGCCTCAGAAAACGCGTTGTCAATCACGCCAAATGAGGGCGTGACTCACATGTCACGCCGTTTTTCGGCGTGAATTTCGTGTCACGCCAATTTTTGGCGTGACTTTTTGTCACGCCATAATTTGGCCATGTGTCCGACCATTACGTTTTCAGTGCAGTTTACGCTTTAAATCAAGCGTAACAGCTAGCTCAACCGTCAAGATTCTCCCTGCTTGACTCAAGCATACAGTTACGCTTTAGTTGATGTGCATGTTCATGTGGCTGTAAGTATTTGTGAATGTTGATGTGGATGTGGCCTTTGATGTGGCTCTTGATGTACATGTTGATGTGGGTGTGGGAGTTTTGAATGTTTATGTGGATGAGTTCATGTTGATGTGGCTGTGGGTGGATGTGGATGTCGAGGGGTCATTCAAGAGATCTTATCTGCGCGTTCCCCCCAAGACAATCTTATCTTGAACGCAGGCAAATTTCACTCAGTTTGATCATTTGATACAGCCACAAA